CCATACTCTCTCTGGAACATCACATTGCAGAGGAACTGATGAAGAAAGATTTATTAGGTCAACTATAGTTCTCATAGCCTCCCCCCAAAATGACTTCGGTAACTTGGCATGAGAAAGCATACACCTAATCCTTTCTTCAATGGTTCTGTTCATCCTTTCTGTCACACCGTTCTGTTGAGGAGTTTTAGGAACTGTTTTCTCAAGCCTGATTCCATGAAATCTGCAATAATTCTCAAAGGAACCTCTGTACTCGCCACCATTATCTGATCGAATACACTTTAGTTTTCTGCCAGTTTCTCTTTCAACACTGACATGAAACTCCTTGAAAACATCGAGTACCTGGTCTTTAGATTTCAAAGCAAAAGCCCATACTTTTCTAGAATGGTCATCAATAAAAGTAACAAAATAAAGGGCATCTCCAAGAGTTCTAGTTTGCATAGTACAAACATCAGTATGAACTAAATCAATAACATCTGATCTTCTAGATGATTGATATGTCTGAAATGCAACTCTATGTGTTTTTCCAACTAAGCAATGATCATAAGATTTAAGAGATGTACCTTGCAACTCTGGTAAGAACTGCTTTCTAGCAAGAGTTTGAAGTCCCTTCTCGCTTATATGTCCAAGCCTCTTATGCCAAAGATCTATACTTTCACCTTTTTGAATTGCATTAATCTCTCCTTTATGTAGCTTAGCTTCCATGACATAAAAAGAGTTAATCTTCTTTCCTTTTGCCACAATTAGAGAACCTTTAGTGAGTTTCCATTTACTTTCACCAAAATAGTGTGCAAAGCCCTCATCATCAAGTCTACCTGTAGATATCAAGTTAAGACGAATATCTAGAACATGCCTTACATCTTTGAGTATCAATCTGCTCCCAATATTGGTCTCCAAGCAAATATCTCCAATACCCACAATCTTAGATGTACCACTGTTTCCCATTCTGACATTACCAAAATCACCAGCAGTGTAAGATATAAAGAAATCACCATGAGAAGTAACATGAAATAAAGCACCAGAGTCAATTACTCAGTTACTATCCTGAGCTACAAGACTGACACAACTGTCATCACAAACAATAGTGATATTACCTTCAGCAGCAACTGTATTGGTCTCTTTCTCATTTTTCTTCATTTCATTCTGTTCTCGCTTCCAAAACTTACATTCTTTCTTCATGTGACCTGGCCTATTACAGTAAAAACATTTGATATCTCTTCTAGACTTAGATATTCCTCTATATCTATGTGGATTTCTACTATGACTTCTTCCACGTCTTTCTTGTTTTTCAGTAACAAATGCACCAGAAGAAGATTCACCTTGTTCTTTCCTTCTAGCATCTTTATTTAGCAAACTATCTTTAACCATATCGATAGTTAGAGTTCCCTCTGGCGTGGAGTTACAAATAGTCACCACATACGTTTCCCAACTTTCTGGTAAAGAGCTGAGAAGTAATAATCCTTGCATCTCATCATCTATATTCATTTTCATAGCAACCAACTTGTTTGCAAGACTCTGAAATAGGCTTATGTGCTCAATAATGTTACCACCATCTTTATACTTCAAATTTACAAGCCTTCTGAGGAGAGAAATTCTATTTCCCACTATCTTTTTCGTAAAGAGATTTTCTAACCTTTGCCAAACAACATCAGCTCTGATTTCATCTGAAATATGCTCATGCAAGTTTATATACATCCATCTTCTAATGTAGGTAATAGCTTTTCTATGTTGAACTTCCCATTCTTCATCGTCCATAGTAGAAGGTTTATCTTTAACCTTGATAGGCTTATACAAATCTTTGCAATATAGCAAATCTTCCATCAGACGCCTCCAAGTGGAATAATTTGATGAGTTAAAGCGGAATATTCTTTTCCCTCTTTGTGTATCAAAATGGGTTCCTCATCAAAATACCAACTTGATATCCAAATGTAAATATCAACCAGCACAGCATAAATAATAGAGCAAATAATCAATCACATAGGGAGACCAAATCTTTTTAACGTGGAAAACCCAATGTGGGAAAAACCACGGGACCGTAGTCCACCTCAAACTTCCACTATCAATAATAATGATAACAGGTTTACAGTAGGTCTTCTCTATAATAACTAGAGGATCAGAATAACATTAAGATTATAGATCTTGGCTCAAGAATAACAAATCTTCATCATGTAGGATGGATCTCATCGTAAGAAAATTCTAGGTATCACAAAGTGGATATCGCAGGAAAGTATTTTAGAGAGGGTAAACTATAGATCAACACTGTTAGTATTGTAGAGTTTGCTACAAGGATTCTTTACATAAAATTTAGGCCGAAACTAACAACGTTTAGCCACCGATCGTCAAGCAGAAATCTCAGAAACCTAATCTTTCTCTCTCTATTTCTCTCTCCTCTGCACGCCACCACATGCTGCAATCTCACTGCGCACGCACACACACACTGCCGTCACCCAATTTTTGCCCTTTCTTTCGGTTAGTGATTTCTTTGATTTGGGCCCATGACCTAAATTTGTCCAAGCCCACATATGGGCTGGACCCAACATATGAAGCATCTACTGCATCTTAAAGTGTGTCAATCATGTGGAATAAGTTCATCCATGATAAAAATAAAATAAAATATCAAACACATCCCATAATATCTCATTTGTATACAATGCATTTATCCAAGAAAAAAAGACGTCCACACCCAACATATCCGAAAGTGTCTCATCTATTTTGCAATGTATCATCGTAGGACAAAGAAACATTAAAAGCACTTGACATACCCTAAGGTGTACTATTTTATACATAATGTATTTATATAAGACAAAATACATCTGAAAGTGCTGAACATATCTAAAAGTGTCCCCTTTATGCTCCATGTATCCTCTCAGGATAAAAAAAAAATCTAAAAAATTTGATGTACTATAAGAAATCCCTTTTATGCATATTGCATTCACCTTGGACAGGGCAGGGTAAGAAAGTAACAAAAGTATAACTTCCTTTTCAGATTTTTATTTTTTTTGCTTCTATTCTTTTCTATCACCGTTTTTTATTTCTCCTTACAACACACCAACAACAACCCATCCTTTTCTTCTTTTTTTTACTTTTTTTTTCTCGACACCAATTGGCTTTCCCCCTACCTATCCTTTTTATATTTTGATTTGTTTTTGTTTCCATTCTTTTCTCTCACTGTTTTTTATTTCTCCTTATAACGCACCAGCAACAACCCACCTTTTTTTTTGCACTTTTTTTCTCCATTGGTGTCTTCTTATAGTTTCCCCCCCCCCCACACAGTGCGTTGCATATTCTCTTTATATTTTGGCTTTTTTTCACTTTCATTATTTTCTCTCCCTTTTTTTTTTCTCCGTGTAACTTACCAACTTTTTCTCTCTTTTTGCATTTTTTTCTCCTAGTTGGTGTCTTCCTTTGGTTTTTCCCTCACATAGTTGGTTGCATACTCTTTTTTTAGATTTTGATTTTCTTTCGCTTCCATTTTTTTCTCTTACTAATTTTTATTTCTCCTTGTAACACTCCAACAACAACCCATCTGTTTCTTTTTTTTCTTTATACACTTTTTTTCT